GACTTTGGGCCTTCATTTTTTAATCTAAGAAATTGTGGAATTAGAGTATCTCTAGGTGTCCTTTTAATTCATAAAACCTATTGTTTAAATATTTTGATAGCATTTAAAATGTTTTAACGTAAGCTAGTTGGTGAGGTTAACATGTTTATATTCATTTGGTAAACAAAAACGAACTGTGCTTGGAAGGTGTCAGGAGCTATGTTCGCCAGGCACCGGGAGGTTAAGAGATGAAACACTTTTGTCCTTGCCTTGGGGACAAAGCTGCCTTGCATACCACCAGAGCAGCGTTTGCATGATATTTTATTTGAATGCTGCCCCCTGGAGTTGTGCAATTGGACTTTAGGGATCTGGCTAAACAACCAACGCTGATCGATGGGATATGTAGTAAACCACCCGTACAGAGAAGAACAAAGTAGGAATAATAGAACAGGGAACAATTAGTTCTGCCCGAATCAGAAATTTTATGGAGAATTTAAATTTTTTTCAGCTTCAAAAGCATTTCCTTTCATGTATTTGTGGAAGAAAAGAGGTACAAATGTGCAAATTCTTTTTAAGGCAAGACATTCTTTTCCAGCTCTAGATAACAAAGGTGTTTGAAACACTTTGTCCTGTGGCTTACAGAGATAGTTCTTTGAACACACTATGTTTACACAAAAGCTCTGCTTTCAAAACAATTCTTGCAAATTAGTGGACATAGATTGTTCTACTGAGATCTTATATTTCACTTGGACCTGTGTGCGTGTGCGTGTATATGCACGTGCACCCAGTTACGCACATTGCCAGGTATGGGAAGAAAGAACTGCTGAACTACAACAACAACAGCAACTTTTTTTTAACTTGACAGGGGCATAGTTCATAGGCAGGTGATAAGGGAGTCCCTTAGCTTCCCATAGAATCACAGAGAATCTTCTCCTGGCATGGCTTTTGTCCATAGGTGCATATTATCACCTCGCTGGGGCCCAGGAGAGACAGGTATGTTAAAGCGAGGTGAGGATACAGCAGCCGGATGGGGATAGTGGGGAGATAATTTACTGCAAACTATAGTAGGTCTTAGCCAGAGCGAAGGGCTTTATAAGGATTATTACGTGCATTGTTACGACAGAGGCTTCCTCGGATTTCTCAGAGGCCGTGAGTGGTTGAGCTACAGTCTGATTAAACAGTCCCCCCTGTCAACAAGTGGTCGATAATCCGCTCTCATTCTTCTACCCTCATTTTGTAAAGCCAGCATGCCAGTATTGAACTGGCTTCCTCTCTTCGCTGGGAATAACAAACCCGCGGAAAGATGATACATTCGCCCCAGTCCGAGAGGGTCAGATAGCTATAACCCCAGGCCAGATGAAAGGGATCCCTCCGGGTGATGCCCGACCACCAAGGAAGGAGATCCAAAGGCGAGTGTTCACATTACTCGTGGCACCGCAACCGCAGAGTCTATGGCTTCTTGCTCTGTTTTCACAGGGCCTGCCAAATATTTCTGCAAAGTACTTAACTTCTTGCATCCCTTTGCTTGAATGTGTCGCTAATGTTTTTGCCAAGGAGGCTGGCCAGTTAGTAACTCCATGTACCACAATCAGTAGCTTGTCTTCGATTTGTCTCACTCCTTTTGTCTGAGGACTGAACTCTGAACCTGGGCACTAACTCACTGCGACACGGGGTGCACACGCACTCCTTCCAGCCCCTTCCTCCAGCAGCAGCCCGGGAGACCTTTACAACAGAGATGCCAGGAATTCATGGCTCCTAAGGCCTGCAGGAGACGCAGCGAATCTCCACATTCCCAAAGCCCAAAGCTTAGCAGCAAAGGGAAACTGAATCCCTCAACCAACCACATAAATTTTCATTTTCTGTGGCTAAGGGTGTTCTCCAAACTGGCACTTGCCCATAGCACACATTTGCACCTGGAAAAGATAATGCGGCCCAGATTGGTGCTTATCCTGTCTGTTCTTTTAGAATGGCCAGGTGTGAGAGGCTCATCATAAAGTGAGTTTTAGCTTGTCGAGAGATTTGTTATGTCACCATGGACAGGCATCAACTTGTCATTTCTCTAGCTGCTTCCCCTGTACCTTAGGTCGAACCATGTGAAATTGCACTTTTTTGTAGGCCAAGAAAGATGGAATATTGGCAGTTTCATACAGTTCTTCTTAATAGAAAGAATCAGTAAGAATTAATACGTATGAAGTAGCTTCTATGTCCCAGGCCCTATATGGGAACTATAATTGTGATGTCTTTCTTAACTTCATTCATGACATCACATCAAGGTGCTAATATTGTCCCCATTTTACCGATGAGACAATGGAGGTTCCCAGAAGTTAAAGAAAGCACCCACAGGCTTAGTGAGGACCTGGGAGACAGGAAACCAGGCTTGTTTGCCTCCAAGGCCTGAATACTTTCCATTCTGCCACATGTAGATATCGCTCCATACAAGGGCATAGATGGTTCATTTGAACTAAAAAGAAATACCTGAATCTATTTGTTGGTGGAAATGACTGAGCCATCTCATATTTTGTTACCACCCTATTTAACGACCTCCAGTGATTCTCTGCTTGCAGTTGCATACAAACCCGCTGACGTCCTCAATATTCTACAACAGTTTCTCTTTTAGGCTTTATCCTTTCTAGCCTTATTTGTGGCCCATTCTCCAGTTTCCAGGTTACATCTGAGATCACCTTCCTATGCAGTGACCACTTGTCCCTGCCATGTTCTCTTCCTGAAATCATCTACCTAATCTCTACACAATCATCTGCAGAAACTCTTGGTCCATATACTTTCCTGTTCCCCCACAAGCTGGGATTGCTTCTCCCTCCTAACACCAGAGCCCTGTGGATTTCTGCTCTGTACTTGCTACTCTGGTAGTACTGGTGATATGGCTATTCGGACACCCCCCTGTCTTCCCCCTAGAGCAGGGGTCAGGCTAGACGTATTCTGTAAAGGATGATAGTCATACAGTATCTGCCCCAACTACTCATCTTGGCTGTTCTATCGTGAAAGCAGCCAGAGGCAATACACAAATGAATGAGCAGAGCTGTGCTTCAACAAAATTTTATTAACAAAAACTGGTGGCAAACTGAATATGGACTGCGGGCCCCAGTGTATCAACCCCTGTCCTAGATTCTTGGTCCCTAAATGTTAGCGAATGTGCCTTCCTCATGCTCGTATCCCTGCTGTGCTGTAAGAGTGCCACAGGGACACTAAATCCATACATATTTGTGGAACTAAATGAAATTTCCAATTGCTGGAATCAGAAATGCTTTTTTAAAAGCTATTGTTGAGAACTCTGCAGACACCTCTCCTCATGCAATTATTGTCTATACATGCAACAGAGCTGTCAGAACCTCTTGACCTACAGCTAATTTCCCCCTAAGCTTAGGACCTTGCCTGGAAGCTTCAAAGGCAGGCTGACTCCCAAGGAGCCATAAAACACCCTATTTTGTCAACTCCTCCTCAAGCTCAGTGAAACACTCCCTCGTAAGGTTTACAGTTGTAGAAAGTCACCTGAGGCTGGGATTCTGCTAATGCAACAAAGGAAGCTACACAAAGTGATTTCTGATTCAACAGAAACGAGAAGAGGTGGATTTCAGGGTACTGAAGAAACTCGTAAGACTTTTTCCTTTCATTGAATCAGTTGCCTACTAAATTTGTAAGTGAGCTGTGTTGGAGAGCCACTTGCCACATGTGGGCTTCATTCATGGATTTAGTTGCAGAGTCTTCAGAAGCTTAAATGATCTGCCCAGGGGGTTGACTCCAAAACAGAATGGCTCATCCAGGCCATATTCCTTGGGTGCGAGGACAACCTTTTTTATGTGTTGGCAATATTTTAGCATTAAAACACTTCCATCCTTTAAGTTCCGGGGCATGCTCAGTAGGTTACCTACCTTGCCTTCAAATGCATCCTTGGTTCCTGCCCTAAGACAGCTCTGACCTCCTTCTATCTAGTCTACACCACTTGATATGATAGAGATGATCTATATGCTACTGACCAGGAGTCATCTTCAATTAGCTACAATAAGGTACCAAAATAAGAACATTAAAAAAAAAAGTTGTCCAGGGATATTTAATGACTGGCACCTAGACAGCCTTCGGTAGTTACTTATCTATTTTGGTAAGGTTCTTCCTGTCTGGGGTCTTGGCTAACAATCAGTGTGGATGAAAAGAGATGGTATTTAAGCACAAATAGATTGAGAACCAATTTTGGAGGTTTAGTGATAAAGGAAACAGATATCAGTTTTCTGTTCCCTGCCTCTCTGATGGCCAAGCTTTTGGGAGACACAGACAAGATTGCATGCTGACTGCAATGGCTGGGAAGAAACCGTGTTGACAGAGGAAACAACAAAATCATGTTCTTTGCTGCCAAAGCATCCAGACTTGTCCACCCGTGGCTAGTCGGCAGGCTTCAGCTCTCTGCTCTGTGTCTCGTCCCCGCCATGCCATCAGCCCTCTCCCGGGTGCCTCCCCACCCTCTCCTCTCAAAAAGAAACACGAGGTTATGTTAAAGCTGTGAGCTGAGAAGGCCTCTTGGGCAAGCCACTCAAGCTGCTTTCTGCAGCAATCCTAAGTGCACATCTGCGGCAAAGCTGCACAGTGTTTGCCTGGAAAATAAATCCACGTTTCTATGACCGGACCGGGGGTCTCCACTCTGCTACCATGAAAAGCATACCATTTGATCATTATTATTATTAGATCAGACTCGAGAGTGTTATTTAAGAAAACCGAAGGGAACTCTTGTTAAAAACTGCCCCCATTTACCCTAAGCACGTCTCTTCCTTGCCACATAGCTTCTTGTAAATGCTGCAAATGTGATTCCTAATCCAAACACCCAGACGAGGCCCTTTATTTCAGGCGCAGTGGCTCTGCCTGTTCCACGCTCTGCACATTAGCTACCCTCTCACGTGGAAGCCGGTGTTCCCGGACACGCAGCGTGGAAGGACACAGGGTAGAGGGGAAGAGAGGGGTGGGGAGGGAAGGAGAGGCCGCGCTCGGCAGGTCGCACAGTTGAGGTTACTACTCACATGTGTTGGGACGCATTGGGGTACAGTTTTGAAAACTGTGGGGCTGAGTCCTCTGGGCCGTGGGGCGCCGCGTGGCTGATCACCATCATAATGGGCCTATGGGGATACATTCTCTTAGACATTTTGAAGTAATTAATGCTCTCGTTAGTGATTAAGTCTGTGAAGTAGTCCTGAAACATACATTTGACACAAAACAAAAATTACAAAAAGTGACATTCATCAGATCGCATTTGAATAACTGCTTTGCTCAGAAGCAACTCATTGAATGATGAGGTAAGGTCTAAAGCAGGAAGGAAGACTCTTCCTCCCAAGACAGCAAAACAGCTCCAATAAGAGACAAAATCAGCTGCCAGTTATTTTCTGGGGTTGCTAGATGGATAACATGCAAAAACTTTATTTTAAGTAATGCACAACATAGCAATTAGGAAAGAAAAAAGTCGTGTTTGCCCAAGATAATGATTAATCTGGCCATACGAGTGCTAGAGCGCATGAAACACCGGATACATATTTCATTGTCAGGTTGCGTTGGCGTAATTCATTGGCAAAAAATTTAATTACTTCGAGGGCAGGAAACACCCACACCCACTTCAAATTTACAGTTGCAGAACACACACACACACACATACACACGTGGACAAAGGCACACACAAATGTACAAACACAAGAAAAGATCTTTTCTTCAAATTAAAAATTCACCTGTGGGAATTACACAACAATCACTAATCAAAGCCATGGCCCCAGTCTGGGAGCCCAGGGAAAAGCTGTAACATGTGATCAAAAATCTAGTTGAAACACTTGAATATGGGGAGCGGTTGGTTTCCTGCAGATTAGACTGTGTTAATTGCACAACTAAAGCAATACAGCTGCTGGGATTAGAGCCCGACGCTAATAAAATGACTTAACCCACAGTCGGGGTTGGGGGGCGGGTGATGCAAGTCCGTAAGGGGGAGGGAGGAAACGGAACGAAAAAGAAAGAGAAGATGAAAACTTAAATTAAACCACCTGCTTCCTCTAAGTGTGTATCACTGGCCTGGAAGTTCCAGTATAAACTTTATTCAGAAAGTGCCAGGCAGTGTTCACAATGTTGAAGACTTCCAGGCATGACTAATCACATGTTGTGGATTTAAGGACAAGAACAGCTGCAAAAGCAGTGTCAGAGGGACGAAATCTGTGTCACATGTCATTGTTAGGACAATGGCTATCCCCTTCTTCTTCCAAGGAAGTGTCTGTTTCATTCCTTTCCTCACTAAAAAAAAAAAAGATACATATTCTTTTTGGATACAATTGTGCTTGACGCTTAATCAGCTGTGATAATGAGCAAGTTACGCTGATTTAGTGTTTGGAGGAATCTTGATTACTTTGCTCTCCTTAGGACAACAGGGGAAGAAAGGTTAATAGCTTGAAAAGGAGCATGAAAAGCATCCCCACAGACAGAAAACCATGGCAGTAACGATTAGTACATGTGGTCTGCATCATTTGCATGCAACCAGTGTACCTACGGCTGGGAATGAGACCTAGGGAGAGTGGCTGAGCCACTGCAGGACAATTTTCCCTCCTCTTTGAAAATGAGGATGTTGCTCAAATTTGCCTCCAAGGTCCCTGGCAACTCTCAACTTTCATAAGTCTGGAAGCCTATTAGCAATGTTTGTGAATTCATTTGCATTCGTTGTTTTCTGAAGGGTTTGAAAGAGCAGGACTTACACCTTATCTCCCACGAAGTCCCCTGTGCTCAAATCAGGCCAAGCGTAAAGACAGCAATGTGCCCAAATTAAATCAATTTCCCTCTTTCTGGTTTCTACCAAGTGTTCTAGCCTGTTAGGAGAGGTTACTAGCTAGAGCAGATTCTCTGCTTCGTTTAGACAAATGAGGAAGAGATGGGTATGGCTGGAAGGGAAGGGGATATTTTAAGCAAATTAGCAGGCTACATTCAAAGATATTTTTCCCTTCGCTTATGATCTGAAAAAATTTTAAATTTAAATTAGCCATCACAAAACCTTTGTGAATTTTTAACTCAAATCTAGGATCCATTTGTCAGAGAGCCTTGCGACGTGTCCATTTCAGCGTCTATGAACTGATGTGGAAATCCTAGGATTGATAGCCTTGGAGACTTTTGTGGACTCTTGCTACTACGGGGCAGGTGTCCTTGTCACATATACTAAGCTTGGTCAGACAAGAGTAAAACCAAGCAATGTGGTTTTCCAAACTTTAATTATTGTACTTGTTTGCTCTTATTCTTACCTAAATCTGAAGCCACAGACAAAATATACTTTCACCCGAAGAAAAGTAAAACAGTACAAGATGAACATTTGATTACATGGACGAGTCCTGGGGGGAGGGGGTGTGAGGGACAAAAATTATCACAAGACAGAGCAGAGGATCCATTATTTTCTTGATGATACTTTCATTGAAGGCTGATTGCCTTTCATCCTAATGAGGGGAGAAATCACTATACAAAAGCAGTTTCCTTGAGAGTCTTTTTCTTGGCTAGAGTTTAAAATTACCTTAAAATTTCTCATGCTAACATTGCGAGAACATAGAAAGCCAATCTTGTGGATAGTTTAACTCATTGAAAATGGCTTTTCCCCATTATGCACAAAGTAAATTGATGCAGTGTAAAAGTGCCTGAAAATTACCTTTGCATAATCAAATCCATGCTTTTCTTTGATGCCATTGCGACAAACAGTGTAATTATAGAAACGAGAATTCTTGATTAATCCAAGCCATTCTCGCCACCCAGGAGGGATGTAGCTGCCATTATATTCATTGAGGTATTTTCCAAAAAAGGCTGCAATGGGAAAAAAGGGTTATCTTTTCATATGAAATAATTAGTCATAAATAAATGCATAAATATGAAATTACAACTCGAAAGAGAGATGGTAAAACAAAAGTTAACTTAGGTAATAGTAAATGCCAAAATAACATTAGTGGAAGATTTCGATCCTTTGGCAGAGTGAAACACACACATTTTTCTTTTGAATAAATATAAGTAGCACCCAAATACATGGATTATGGTTCAATAATATCACCATGATGATCATGGCACTCTGGGTGCATTTATTTCGTATGGTACTACTGGAGTAAAACCAGAATATACCCTTTTGTTAAGGTGATGTAATAATCAGAGAGGTTACCCAGTGTGAGATTTGGAATGCTACCACCAGGCAAGTATTGGAGAACTGAAAGTTCAGTCTTTGTGATAAAATAAGTTTTCTAACTTATTATTGGAGAGTTGTGAATTGTAAAAACACTATTGAAAAGCTTGTCTTTGTTTTCACATATCCAGAGAGCACAAATTTTCCAACCAGGGAACCATGGTCAGGGCTTTTATATCACATGCATTTTATGTCATCGGTCAAACGCCCATGTATGTTATGTATATTTTATGAACATGTATGTCTATTATTGATAATAATTCTGTCAACACAGAGTTACTGCATCGATGACTAATTTTCATACAATTATAGTAGAATAAAAGTATGTGTGTCACAAAAATGCCACAGTTCATTAAAAAGGCCCCCGGAAGGACTTCACATTTGTGACTTTGGCATGTCACGTCCAAGAGAGGCCCCTATGCAACAGGGCTGACTGGTTCTTTCTGAGCAGGTGACTACAGTTTGGTCCTCTGCTGAAGATGACAACAGGAGAGGAGTAAGGAGAGACAAAGGGAGGCTGGGATTCCAGGAACAAAAGGGGTTAGATCTTGATGTCAAATACCTTACAACCATCAGAAGGGTAGCCATGAATGTACTGCTGGGACACTTTTGAGAAAGAGGGTGCTATTTGTAATTATTGTAATTACACTAGGAAAGCAGGTATCAACAAGCACTATTCTGGGTAAAACTGAATGTGTGGTAACCCCTCAAGAATGAATGGCTAGAGAAAACTCTATTTTATATAAGTATGCACAGGTATATGTACGTGTGTGTGTCTGTGTATATGAGTATGCATACACACATGCACCTACACATACACACACATGTATGCATGTTTTAGTCTTTCTGATGTTATAAGGCTGTAACCTTTTGGTTTTGGGAGAGACCATGCTCTGTGGCCAGCCATAAGCTTTCCACATCAAAATCCACTTTCCAGCTTCATTAAGCAGGTTTTATAGGTGTCCCCAGTTACATCTATGGCAAAAAGTAGGTCCTGGAAGAGTGGTTTGGGATAACAAAAACGGATTCTAGAACTGAGGCACTTTATTGGCATTGGTCTTAAAGCACACAATTTTGTTTTTTGTTTTTTTGTTTTTTGAGACAGAATCTAGCTCTGTTGCCCTGGCTAGAGTGCCGTGGCGTCAGCCTAGCTCACAGCAACCTCGAACTCCTGGGCTCAAGCGATCCTCCTGCCTCAGCCTCCCAAATAGCTGGGACTACAGGCATGTGCCACCATGCCCGGCTAATTTTTTCTATATATATATTTTTAGTTGTCCAGGTAATTTCTTTCTATTTTTAGTAGAGACGGGGTCTCGCTCTTGCTCAGGCTGGTCTCGAACTCCTGACCTTGAGTGATCTACCCACCTCGGCCTCCCAGAGTGCTAGGATTACAGGCGTGAGCCACCACGCCCGGCCAAGCGCACAATTTTGAATCTTAAATTTAGTCAATGTACATCATTTTGGGTGTCCCTATGCCATAGCTATTTAGCTTGCTTTCATCTTTGATATATAACTACAGATGACCCCGACTTATGGTGGTTCAACTTCCAATTTGATGGCACAAATGCAATATGCATTCGGTACAATATTCAATAAATCATATGAAATCTTCATCACATTACTGTAAAATACTTTGTGTTAGGTAATTTTGACCACCTGTGAGCTAATGTAAGTGTTTGGAGGACGTTTAAGGTAGGCTAGGCTAAGTTATGATGTTTGGGAGTTCAGGTGTATTAAATGCGTTTTTGTCTTAACGACATTTTTGACTTATGATGATTTTATCAGGATGGGACCCCATCGTGAGTTGAGGAGCATCTGTACCTGTAGAGTATCTCCATCTGAATGTTTTATTTGCTCCTTAACACAATTGTCCAAAATGAAATTAACCATTTTCCTTTCAAATTTACTCCACTCCTTGGATGTGTCCTCTGAGTGGCACAATCCTTACCCTTCCCTGGTAACCAGGCTTGGCAACCCCAAGCGTCCTCTGATTCTACCTGCGTAGACCAGAAGCTTTGTGATGGCAAATGTTGCCTCTGCCTCATCTCTGTAGCCCTCTCTCCATCCTTGCACACAGTACAGGGCTCCATAATTTTTGTTTCCTGAACTGGGGCACACGGACCCAATGTGTTCTGGCCATTCTACAAGTTTTAGACTTTTAAAAGTTTGTGTTTTTACTTGAATTGTAATTTTTAAAAGCTAATTTGGTCTTCCAAATATTTTCATAGCATAGAGCTTTAGAGTTTCTGAAGCTGAAATTTCTTATTAGATTTTTCTTTGAACAGGGTCCAGACTCAAGTCTGAGAAATGTGGCGATGTATGTTTGTTGGATAAATGTTTATTTGTTGAATCTGTGAATGAGTGACTCAATCAAGGGGTCAGTCAGCCCATGGCTTGAGGATTCTGCCAGGGCTGCTGGGCAGGTTGATCAGCGTAGCGCAAAGCGTCAGAGGGTCTCACATCGGATGACTCAGCATTTCCCTCCAGGCTGACCACATGCAGTAGGAATTCTTCTACGAGGATTTCTTGTCTTTAGAGAATAACTGACCTTTCTACATAGAATTACAGGATGATTTTCCTTTTCCGACAAAATGCAACATGACTTCAAGCCACGGGCAGCAGACCAAGGCCACACCCCACCAATGTTTCCTCGGAGGGGACTGTTTCCAGGAGGCTTGCACTTAACAACCTCGAGCCCAGCACTTTCCTCTGGCTTCCTCTTCATTTCGGGGATTTATCCCACTTTTCTCTCCTTTCATTTTCAAAGAGATAAAAGAGCATGGTGGTATAGGATATAAACCCTGGTGCCAGCCTGCCTGGGTTCAAATCCTGGCTCGGTTACTTGCTAGTTGTCTGTTCACAGGCAAACTACTTACACTCTCCCTCCTCCAATTCCCTCCGTAAAGCCCTGACGTGATGATGACTATGGTGGCAGGACTGTTGCGAGGAGTTAATACACACGTAAAGTGCTTAAAACAGAGCCTGGCACATAACAAGGGCTTATTTAGTGCTGCTGCTACTAGTATCGTTATTAGCATCACCATTTTCATTATCCTTCTGACTTTGTCCTTGGATTTTAAGTCATTTACCATTAGCAGTGTAAGGAAATCTTACTCTGTAGAGTTCCTCACTTGTGCCCTCGAACACATCTCTTGGGAGGTTACATACTTTCTTCCCCAGTGACTTATTTTGTGGCAACAAATTCTCCTCCATTTGGCTCACATTTTCCTGCTTAATAAGTTTTAATTTTTTTTCTGCTCCTTTTAGGTTGTTTTTTTTTCCTTCTCCATGTCCAGTCATTCCTGTCCTTCCCTAATTGTTGTACTTCTTAGGTTATTTCGCACTGTTTTCTACCCATTGCCATGGCTATTACCCTCTGCCTTAACCCTTCCCTTGTAAACTAGTCCTTCGAGTCCCTTAATAGTCCTTGTTTTTTGCCTCAGAACTCCCTCCAGGTTTTCGGTGTCTTGTGTTAATGGAGTGTAAAGAATGCTCTCGGTATTCCAGATGTGTCCTCACCCATCACACTTGTTCCAAGACAGGCCGGGACCTCGTGCGTCATAATGCAGCACCCAGCGTTGTCGGCTCAAGTTACTCTGGCCTTTTTTGTTGCCTCATGACATTGAGACTCATTTGTAATCACCCCTGGCCTCTTTCAACATTATGCTTCCTGGCAGCGCTCTGCAATTGATTACCTAGGCTTCTAATTATTTTCCTCCAGATGTATTAAATCTCTCTCTCCCTCCCTACGGCGAATTCCATTTTCTTGCCTCTACTGCCATTATGTCTGTGTATAGGTTAGGCGTAGTTTGAAGGTTTTCTTTCCTTTGGCATTGGCGATTCAACACAACCCGCCCCCCCGAAGAAAACAACCCCAAGGCAACTAAAAAAACCTCCAAAACAATCGCTTCTTTTGGATAGCATGAAACACTTCCCTTCGCAGCTGTCTAAGAAGGTGGTGGGGGTTGGGTGACAGAGAGAAAGATCAGAAAGCCCTGATTATAATTATTGTTGGCTGTAGGCCATGTTACTTCTGTCTAGGACCACCTGTTACATAATCCTTAGAAAAATTTCCTGGAACTATCTGAAGCAAAGGCATTTATTTTTAAGTCAGCAATAGCGACTATACAAAAGATATGATGCTAAGGTGAAGTCAAATTTTATTTAACATTATCCAGTGATATATTAATTGAGATTTTACTTCATGTACTTGATAGACTTGGGGTGGCAGATTTTCATGGTAGTAACTATATATACACATAATTTTGAATCAAGTTAAAATTATAATTTATGTTAGTTTGTATACAGGAGTCTGTTTTCCCCAACTAGAGTGTAAGTCTAGTGAAGACAGGAATTTTACTTTATATTTCTTCCTATCCCAGTGTCCAGTATAGTTCCAAGAACACTGTGGTTCAATAAATGTATGCTCTATCTCATGTTTATGTACTTATCAAGAATCTATAATACCATACTCCATAAAAATAAGATTGATTTATCTTACTTTGTGAGCTCTACATTTAAAAACATCCCATATTAGAGAATAAAAATACTTGTTATAAATAACACAAATTTTGTAATGGAAAATGACACGAAATTAAAAAATAAGTAAATTTGTCTAAATTGATTTATTACAAAAGAGTTCTTTACAAAAAGATTTATTGTAGATCTGTATTAAATATTGCTCCTTCCACCTCAGTGATACGAAGTAGAATTGGTGACTAAAATTTAATCCATATGTGATTTTATGTACCTTGTGTTACAACTGTAATTTATATACTGCAATTTTTAAATGAATCAATATAATAATTAGCATGAGTATAATAAAGTTACAATGCACAGTAATTTTGGACAAGAAAGAAAAGTTAGGCAGCATTCTAGGCCACTCTGCATTATGTAGGTTGGAAAACTGGCCTGTCCCAGTCCGCGAAACAAATCAAGGGCAGAGTAGGATGTGACTCCAGCTCTCCTCAGTCCAAGTTCAGGGTTTTTTCCAATACCTGATGCTACCTCTCAACTGTGGATAATAATTTCTACCTTAAAACTTATGCCAAGTTATATATTAATGTCTATACCCTCGTAAGAAATTTAAACTAATTTGTTCTTTGGAGCAGATTTCAGGCAGGATATTCATTTTTATGATAGATAACCCAATATCATTCCCACTTCACTTGTCAGAACATAAAGTGCAGCAGACATGTTACTGTATTTTCCCCTTCTTGAACATTTAAGCTCTTGTAGACTCATATTTTCCATGAGTAAAGTTAGAAAAATTTAGACTTTAGCTGGTCCAAAAATATGCCTCAGTTCTGTAAAAGAAAAATCATGTCATACAACGGTAAATATAATATTGGATCAATTCAATTCATTTAAATCCGTGGATGCTGGACACCTCCCAAAGTAAGCCTCCTAGTAATTTGTCTTCTTTGAGTTGTTCTTCGTAAAACTTACTGCTGCTTTGTGCTTTTTTTCTAGATGGATATTTACATGTAATACGTATTTCTGTTTTCTTCATTATTTTTCTTAGGTTTGCAACTAAACGTTCCAAATAATAAATTGATTATTAGGGAAACAACAAAATATTATACATCAGCTTTTTCCTTACTAGCTTTTCCCCACTAGCTTAGTGTCTTATAAATAATTACATTAGTTTAATACCTACTCACCAATTCTCTTAATTTCTTAAGATGCCTGTCACTCATGTGCTTATTTGTCTATTTTCAAATGGGTCATTGTCCACACTAGGAACAGCAACTACTGCCACAAAGACATCTTTCTATCTAATTGTCTGAAGTACTTCAATGTTTTCCCATCAAAGATAAGTTTAAATTATATAGCTATCACTGCTATTTTAATCTTCCAATTTTTAATCTTTCTGATTTACTAATAGGCAAATCAAAATTTATTCTCCTGAGGGCATATTGTCCTTTTTCTATTCCTAAGCATTTGGGAAAATCTTTATTTCTCTCAAAGAATTCCTTTTATTTGGGAGGATGACTCTCTATAAATTCCGTTATTACCTAAGTGTCTAAACCCCTGGGAAGAAGGTTTGCTTTAGAATCAGACATGGTTTCCAGGAGAAGACACCTGACTTAAGGCTTACCAGGTAAGCCTTGTGGCATGAGGTCTCATTTCACTGTAGACCTCACTCTTCAGGTAAAGGCAAAACACTGCACAGAGCCCTGAGGACCAAGGTCCTGGTGCCTGCTCTTCCCATTAGAATGTCAGGTCTGTGACTTCAGCAGTCACCCTAATCTGGTGGGTATAAGTTTACTCCTCTAGAAATAAGGAAATTGAACTAACTTATCTTTGAATTTCAGTCAAGCTCCTTTAATCCACCTTAGGGTGGATGCAGCATAGCATCATTGAGAGAAGTAACAGAACACACTAGGCATCTTAGCGGCACTGGATTTGTTTTTATCCTGGTGACCCAGTGAACTGTACAATGGGTGGTGTTCCATTCTTGCTTTTCTCATCCAGATGCTTACTTCCAAAGTAGCAACCTTTCCTTGCAACTCCACAGTGAGCAGGCTGTACGCCAATCTTTGCCTTGACTTTCACTACTTTTATGCTTTGCTTCTCTTTGCCAGGGTCCTTACTGTTCTGTGTTGTAGGTATCTCTCTAAGGCATTTTGGACCGAGGCAGGATAGAACCACATGTCAGTAAATAGCATGTGGAAAGAGGAAAGACTGGAGTCAGATGTGCTGAGTTGGTTCCACCACTGACTAGCTTGCGACATTTCACAGCCCTCCCAAGTCTCGGCTTCTTCAGTGGTAACAAGGGTGAATCCTTTCTTTCAAGGTTGACATAAGAATTAGGGGAGACGACAACAAAAAGCAATTCCCTTCTTTTTTTTATCTTTCCTGATTTAGTCCTGAAGCAAATTAGGAAACTTTAGTTGACTGCTCTAACTCCGGGGTGGGCTCTGTCTCACCCTGTATCTCTATTTCTTATGACTATACCATTTGTATTACTCTGGACATGTGAGTGCCCCAACCCTTCCTCTCCATATCTGCTGCTGGGGTTAAATTATAGGGAGCCTGACAGTTGAAAGGCACTGATTCCACACACTTCCCATGAGCAAAACACAATTTGGTGGTTAAAATCAGGAACCAGGCACTAGGGAACTGTTTCTGATTCTGTTTCTGAGCTGGTCAAATGATATCTGAAATCCCTACCTTTATGAAACAGAGCCAAGTGCATTTGCCATCTATGAACTCTACAGGGATGTTTGATGGATTTGCAAATTGCTTTAGAGTCCTCAGATGAAAGGTGCTATAAATTTAAATCACTAATGTGAGAAAACACACTCAGGATAAGGCACTTCTAACCTCTCTGTAACCTAGTTTTTTTCCTAAACATAAGCAAACACCCTTGAGAGTCACAGGATGAGCTTCTTCTGTGAGTAGAGATCTTGAGATGCCTGTGAATGATAGTCCTATCATATGCACGATCAATATTTCTATCCATAAATAACAAGTAGTAAGTGCTTGCAGGGTGCTCTGAAATAAAGCAATGGCCGCATGCTTCCTAAGTCCAGTGGGAAAGGTTAATTTCGTTTTTAAAAGAGATTTAAGAGAATATTTATCTGAAATCCTTTACTTTTAAATCTTCAAAATAGAGAATTTATAGGCCTGAAAATCATTTCCAACAAGCTTTAATAATATCTTTAGTTTTTATGACCAAGTCTAGGTGGTGCTGAAAAACAAAAACCTGTTTTTGCACTGCAGCCCTTCTGTCAGCAAAGAAATGCTCTGCAAACCCAAGGCCAGCATCTACATGTTGGGAGGATAAGGCTTTGGGGGCAACATTACTGGAAGGAGCCTTGCTTTTTTCTCAGAAAGACTGGCATGATGTTCCCAACCCCTCTTGAAAGAGGTCCCCAATTTTCAAAAGACCAGCTAACCAAAACCTCTTCTTGCCCTATGTAGGTTAAACATTGATAGTAGGTGTAGCAGTTAGGATGCCTTCCTCTTCTGGAAGATAGAAGTGAACATCTGAGACGTTAAAATGACCATGACTAAAAAAAAAAAAAAATGACCATGACTTAAGCTAAAGTAACTTTTAAAATCCTATTAATTATAGTGCAACCACTATGGAAAACAGTATGGAGGCTCCTCAAAGACCTGAAAAAGAACTACCATATGATCTGGCAATCCCACTGTTGAGTATAAATCCAAAGGATGGGAATTCAGTGTATTGAAAAGATATCTACACTCTCATGTTTATTGCAGCACTATTCACAATAGCCAAGATATGGAATCAATCTAAGTGTCCAGCAATAGATGAATGGGTAAAGAAATTGTGGTACATATACACAGTGGAATCTTATATGGCCACAAAAAAGAATGAAATCCTGCCATTTGAAGCAACATGGATGGAACTGGAGAACATTATGTTAAGTGAAAGAAGCCAAGCACAGAAAGATAAATCTCACATGTTCTCACTCCTACGTGGGAGCTAAGTATTAGAAATAATTGATCTCATGGAAACAGAAAGTAGAATGATGGTTACCAGAGACTGGGAAGGGTAGCTGGGAGCGGGGGATAAAGTGGGGATGGTTAATGGGTGCAAAAATTAGATAGGTAGAATGAACAATATTTGATAGCACAACAAAATGACTATAATCACTATCTACCTATAACAATAAGTTAGGGTATACTTTAAAATAACTAAAAGAGTGGAATTGGAATGTTCCTAACACAAAAAAAAATGTTAAATGCCTGAGGTGATGAATACCTCAATTACCCTGATTTGGTTAATTCACATTGTATGCCAGTATCAAGACATCACATGTACCCTATATACAACTATTATGTACCCATAATAATTAAATAAAAAATCATATTAATTATAAATGAATAAATAAATGAATCAATAAGGTATATCATCAGTTTATTCATTCAGTTATTCATTAATTCAATAAATAATTTTAATCATCTACTATGTTCCAGACCCTAGGGTAGGTACTAAAGCTGTTTGAAAATATTTTTCACTGAAACAAGAAGCAGGAATTTACCAACATCTAAGAAAAGCCTCAAGTTGTGCCAGGATCCCTGGCGATTTGGGAAGTTGAGGTAAGCAGGTAAATGGAAGAAAAGTTCTTCCATTTCAAGTTATCCTGGAAGATTCCAACTGCCGGGTGCTCTGATGAGAACAATACTTTCATATTGTGTCCACTGGAATTGTTCTGATTTTTCTCCATGGGATCTCTCATGGATACATTGTTCAGAGTAAAAAGTAAGAGATGGGAAAGATATTGACAGAGAAGAGAAATGCTAGACTACTTCATTTAGGGACTTACTGGGACTTGATGTATTTCATCACACAATGCACTTTCCTGTGTCTAAGACGTATTATCGGAGGTTATGGGGCTAGAGATATCATCCCTTACCTGTTCTGTAGCCAGTGTTGTTAAGATACACAGCAAAAGTTCGAGGCTCATGCATTGCCTGCCATGAGGGTGAAGAGCAGTTCTCGTTGTTGGTGTAGACGTTGTGATTGTGCACATACTTCCCGGTGAGCATGGACGACCGCGACGGGCAGCACATGGGGGTAGTCACAAAGGCATTGGTAAAGGTGGCCCCCCCATGTTCCATAATCTTTCGCGTTTTGTTCATGACTTGCAGGGACCCTGAAAGGCACAATGCCAGCGTTGTTTAGCAAAGTGCAGCACACGAATGCCCTTTATATGGTGTCACGCAGTGCCTCTGTTTCCCTGATTTATTCATTTCCCTCCCTCTTGGCTTGAAAGAGTCTATAATTTGATCAGCTTTCATTTCTAGAACAAAATTAGACATTTGGGATCCTACCATCTCAAGCATTTTGCAGAATAATAAACACACTTCTCTCCTTAATCACAAAGAAAAAAAATGCAGGCTAATCTGGTAATTAAAGCTAGAATTTTAGATATGGAGCAGGCTCAAAGGCCAGCAGCCCTTTGAAGATTCCTGGAGAACAAAAGCCTGATACACAAAAAATCAAAAGCCCCAGCCCACCCCACGTGCAAATGCTAGTGACTGCAGAGATTGCTAGATAGAGCATTTTAAGCACATGAAAGAGAAAAAAAATTTCCCTAAGTAAAAGTCCCACCAAAATGCTTATCTTTAATATTAATAATAAAGATTTCAATGTAACTTGGTATCTTCTAGCAAGCTCACCAAATGTCTGCCAGTTTTTTTATTAGGACAGCATAATCAGTTTATATTTTGACCTGTTTACCTGTAATTTTTAAAGATTGGTTGTTCACCTTTGAAAGAGCTATGATTCTATTGCACTCAAAAGGATTTGCATGGTTATAAAATATTCCATTTTAACTGTAAGGATGAAATAGTAACATAACATTGCTGAGAAAGAAGGGAAAAAAACATATTTCGATTACTCTATCCAGCCAAACACTGCAGCTGAAACACATCCAAAGACTGCAGAAAAGCACAGGCAGAATTCAATAGTCTTTTCAGGACTTGTCAAGAAATGCACCACAGAGCACTACAGCCAAGCCCACTGCATTTGAATCTCGGAGCCTCAGATTTCCAACTGGTCCCACTTCTTCCAAAGAAAGGAAGAAAGTCCATGTTTTCCAGTAAGGAAGGAAATCGTAATGCAAACCAAGCAAGCATTCAGAGCAGAATAGAAGTGTGCAACAATCCAAAAAGCCACAGTTAGCCCTGTAGCTTCCTACACTGGCTTTTACTGTCTGCATGACACATATGAGAACGGGAAGAAGGTTTCTAATTGGGTCTTATTAGAACTCCCTAAAATATGCTTCACCTAGAAGCACTTCTAACTGCTCTTTCTCTTCTAGTTGTCTTCAAGGGATCAGGCAACCTTTTGTAGTCAGTAAGTAACACGTCGTAAGCACCCACTTCATGCTGAACATTCTATCAACCTCCAATAGCACGCTTCACCCGTCTGACATTTTCTTCCTTCTTGTCTGCCACTTGGCCTCATCTCTTGTTCAGAACTCTTATTAAGCCTTCACTCGAGGTGCCTTCTATCCTCCTATGTACTGCTACCACTATGTACATGTTGCTTTACAAATATTCCCAAGGGATTTTTATACAGAGGTTCTCATCTGTAGAGTTTACTCCTGAAGTCCAGAGGCAGAGAATTTTCCATTTCTTTTGTTAATGCTACACTTGGAGGATCAGCCCAAGTGTGCCACTGGAGGCATGGGCAGGACGGCATGAGCCATGCTCTGGAGGTGGGAGGAAGCAAGTGGAGATACAAGAACAGCACATGGATTTCCTGGCATGAAAAGGAATATGGAGAATTCTCTCAATGAAATGTGGGGCGCAGAGTTAGCAAAGAGCTTGGAGGCTGGGTGGAGATGCTCAGATCTGACAGAGTAGACAAATTGAAAGCAGAATAGGTTCTTTGTCAAAGACATGAATGACGCCATTTTTATAGTAGTCTATGAGAGGCGTTGCTGCTGCCGTGGTGGTGTCTGGATTGAAGAGGGCACACGGCTGGTCCATCAAGTGTAAAGCTGAGAGGTCGTGGAAACCATCTGGTCCTGCAGGGAGAAGAACCCGGACTGCGCTGAGCCTCTGACAGAGCGACCCTAAGAAGCAGATCCAAGCGACATCGTAATACACCAGAAGGCTGTGAGTTAACTCACACCCCAGAGTTTTCATCGTGAGAAGAAAACTGGAAACTAATTGTTTCATTGATGGTGAAGTAATAACTAAAAAGGAATATGCTCTATAGAAGATCAAAGAAGTTCATTTTAGAAATGATGCATTTTATATTTGTGTTGGTTGATCACACGGGGGAAACATCCTGGAGATAAATAGATAAACAGAGACGCGGGACTGGAAAGGCAGAGGTGATGCCGGACGTGTCTGTTCACTTACTCCTCTCTTTAGATATCCGTAGTGGTTACTTACTGTAGTATCTTGAATTTGGGGAAAACAGCAAGCACTGCTGATGGATTTTCACTGCCCAACAGTCTATTTCAAAGACCTCTCAGAGGTCCTTTATGAGACTTAGCTGAATTCAAATGAAAAAAAAATGTAGCTGAAGGCGATCCTCCAAGGTCCTGAATCACAATGCTGTGATCTCCAGCATACTGACTCATTTGGACTGCAAATACGGGATCGAGGTGCAACTCTGATTTAAAGTCAAAATAATATAAAAACTGGGGCTAAAACTTAGCCCAATTCATCATTGCTGGAATTGCCCCAGCCAGGACTCTCCTCTCACTCTCAGTGTCACCCTTTTCTGAATTAACCGAGCTGATTGTGTAGAGGTCCTGAACAATCCCTCCAAATGCCTGGTTTCCAGCCAGTCCACACGTCGAAGGGAGCTAAGATGACCTGTGAACTCCCCAGGTACCATTCACAGCACAGCTCCACCACTGGGGTTCTTGAAAGTGGGCATCTGGCTCGAAGTTTCTCAGTAAGGAAGATTCTGAGATGATGCTTATCCAACTTTAGAAATCACCCAAAGAGCATGCTAAGCCACAGAATCCTGGCCCCACCCAGAGATACTGGTTTAGAATGTCTGTGATGGGTCCTGGAATTTGCATTTCTAACAAGCCCCAGGTGAAACTGAAGCTGCCTGCTGGTGAGCCGTGCCTGGAGAAGTATTCTAGGTGGGGCATGGAATCAGGGAAGCCTACAGCTGGAAGAGACTTTAGTGGGTGCCTTTTTTTGAGTGATCTAAGTGGCTTAGACCACTGCCAAGGCTGTAAGATATATCACGGACAGGAAAAGGAAACATTGATTTACTCTGGGCCAGGTTCTCTTCTAAGTACTTCTCGTGCTTCGACTCATTTAATCCTGACAATAACCCTTTGCGATGGGTGCTATTAGCTATTATTCCTGTATTATAGATGATGAGCCCGAGGTGCAGAAGGGTTAAACCATGTGCCTAGGGCTACACAGACCCTCAGGGGCAGAGCACAGAGGCAAATGCAAGGCCCCGGAGACCATGGTCTTGAGCTCCTTTTAGGCTGTGTCCTGGCTGTGACATTGACATTTTCAAGACAGAAACAGAAATGATGTCTGCTTGCAGTCAAGCTAGGACTCACTTTCTGCAGTCTCATCTTTTGCTTCATCTGACCTCTCAGGGGAGATACTGACAGACACTAATGCCTGCCTCGTGCCCTCTTAAGGGCTGGAATGCTCTCAGGAGCTCTGTCTCCAACAGCTGGTGTTGACTGTCACCTCTGATCTCTGTGGATTCTCTGGGTAGAGACAGATGATGGAGTGCAGGCATCAGAACCTCTTCACTCTGCTGTGTCAGTGTTTACCAGTAAGGAAAGCACCAAGCACCTTCTTTTTTATGGCTGTGCAATGGTTAACGCCAGTCAATAATGCTGCCTTTGCACTCTATCTATTCCCACGGTGATTGTGCCATCGATTGTTCATTGGCAAACTCTACCAAAAACTATCCGGCAATAAAATTCATAATTATGCATTCACAGCTGTTGAGAGCAGTGGACGGGACAACATTCTATCCTGTAGGTGGAAGGGCTCACTTTGATTTTAAGTGGAAGCTCTTTACTTCTCTAGGCTTTAGGCCTATGGTGCCTAAAATGCAAACAGTGCTGGTTCTTTAGTTACTAGAACACTTATTTTATAGGAGTGATATGAAGCTTAAGGTTGAACACTCCTAACTAGATTGACAAGGTGAGGCTCCAGAGGATAAGAATGAGAAAAGACAGAGTCCTGGACTCGAATGTATGGTGAAACATCTGGATTTTGCCACAGATCAGCTTGCACCAGCCATTTAAGCTGTTTTGGTATGCTTCTCATCTGAAGGAAATTGAAGGAACTACACTCTCATCTCATCTGTAAAATGGAGCTAATAATAGCTCCTGACTAGTTCGCAGGGTCGTTGAGGACCAAATGGCATAATGCCATCAAAGTACTTCCTGCAAGGAGTGTTGTCATTGCAGCTATGATTTCTTCTGTGCTCACCTCAACCCCACCACAGTAGGTTTTCTCCTGCCTTGTCCATCTTCTCTTCTCTGGAGTCTACATCCAGATTCCAAAAGCTGGGATAAGAGGAGAGAGATCGACCACCTTTTCTATACAATGTTGAGATTGGCTTACCAGTCCTTCCCCTTTCCTCACACACAGCCCCCTACCCCAAGCTAAAAGTCCAAGTTTATTATTGTTTTAAATTGTCCCATGAGGTGAGAGCCTGACACAGATGCTCTGAAGTGGCGCGGTCAGTCTGCTTGGCCAGTGAGGGCACCCTGCTGACGGGGCTGGACGAGGGAGAAGGTCCAGGCCACGGCTGAGTCCCAGCACTGCCAAGACACGTGGTCCCAGCGCCAGAGTTCCAGGTTGGGCCTGGGGACATCTGCCTTTGCTCCTACAGGCTGAGGGATGCTGTGACAGCAATCAGCTGTGGAACAAGAAGCTGAAGAGGTCAACAAGTGATTCAGGCGGGAGAAGTAGCCCCTTCAGGAATGCGGCAAGGGCCACCATGTTTGCAGTCTTGGTGCAATTAAAAATCTAGGCTCCTTGGATGGAATAAGAGATAGGTTGAGGCTACACAGAACCATGGTGAGGAACTGAAATTATTCTACACACTCCAACTACTTGATTCCCCAATCATCTGTGTGAGAAAGGTCAGGAGGTAGAAAATGTCCCGCTAATCTGAATGACTTTACTATTATAA